TTGCCTCATCCATAGTGCTTTAGTTAACAGATGCCTCCAGGCGAACTATGACTCGGAAATGAGGGATGTCTCGGTATGCGCATGACGCAACAAGATCGAAGAGATGCTTGCCCAAAGTAGGGTTCGGGTTTCTATGAGAGACGATGGAATTATGAGCAAAATGGAGATAGGAAAACAACACAAATTGAATGAAGTTTGGTAGTGCGACCACCGCCTATGGAACTAACTAATGAATAGCGGCCCTTGCTTGTTTTTAGGCAGGCTAGACTAGATTATTGGATTCAAAAACTTTACGATGGGGCTTCTAGCCATCCTGTTTATTCTCTCGCCTTCTCTTGTTATCGTTTTGATAATGATGTTTTTTGATACCGATAAGTTAGTATTCATAAATACTGCGCGTAATTGCCGGCATCTGCTTATTTGTGGTAGATGAACTGACTGGTCTCCCACCTCTCATGGCATGGATCTCAATTAACGCCGAGTTTTTGTTCTGACTGGCAGGTTCTAGACCACAGCGATCATTTCGCAACTGCCTATCTGATCCATGGGCAAAGTTGCCCTGAAGGTACTCGGTTGATGCAATTGGGTCATTGTCAGACTGCCAACCCAGGAAACCCCGCCGGCTAGCCCCGTAGGTCACTTAAAAGCAAGTAAAATCGCCAGGTACATGGGATCCTTCTCAGTTGCATTTGTCTTTCCTTGTTGGTGGATAGGTAGGTAAGTACCAATGTAATCGATCGAAACGAGCTCACAGCTTTCACGCTACAGCCCCTTTGAATATTTTGCCAATTGCATCATACAGATCAATTTCAACCAACTACGCGTCTTGACAATGCATATGCTTCTTTACTTGACACAACATCCACGTGTGAACGATTAGGTCAAGGTACCTATATCATGACAGAGAGGAACATGATAACAAATAAGTACGTGGTGCTAATATGGGACATGAGTATTGCGCTTTCAAGTTAAAGTGCATCGGTTTCTTACTCACTAATATCACCTTAAAATCCATATTGATGGAATTAAACAGCTCGAACAGCTCACCATTGCTATCCCCATTTTACTAAATTGCTCAGCTGAAGGAAATTCCATGAATCAATTGATGTCTGTTAACTTTGAAAATGATCAACTCGAGCGCCTTTATAATTATTTCACTATGGTAGGCTTGTAAGTAGTCAGCGCGTGCATATTATCTAATAGGTAGCTGGCCAAATGGATGGATATGAGGACACTTTCAGTAACCACAATACATTTAATTATTTGGCAAGTACACATTTGGCAATATCGAGATAATTCAACTAGTTCCTAGACAATTCCTTTCTTTTTTTGTCTTATTACAACAATGAACTTGATAAAACTCCGGTTTGTTAGTCCTTATTGTATCAGGAACACTCGGACGGCCTATTATGACTGACCCACACCGCCTACTCTTTCAGTAATCCGGGGCGTATTCTGCCACAAATTATCCTGGAGCTCCAAGCTGCACAGACCTGGGCTCTGCGTACAAGATATCCTCACCATAGTCGCGTTCGCATCGACGACAACACTGAGCGTCCAGTCATCTGCAAACATCCTCGCGAATACAGCTATTAATAACACAGTATTCGTCAACAATCATGTCAACAATAACCCCTGATGCGCTTCAGTCGGGACAGGCTCCTGTTATTCCCTTATCCTTCAATGGTAACCAGCCGGAGAAGGTGACGCTCTACCCGCTTTCCAACTACACATTTGGTGTCAAAGAGACTCAGCCCGAGGAGGACCCATCAGTTATTGCTCGCCTAAAGCGACTCGAGGAGCACTACACAGAGCATGGCATGCGCCGTACGTGTGAAGGCATTCTCGTCTGCCATGAACACAACCACCCGCACATTCTCATGCTACAAATCGCAAATGCCTTCTTTAAGCTCCCAGGCGATTACCTGCGCCCCGAAGATGACGAGATTCAAGGCTTCAAGTCGCGACTCGACGAGAGATTGGCACCCGTTGGTCGTTTGGGGGAGGGCGAAGAAGCTGGCGACTGGCAAGTAGGCGACTGCTTAGCCCAGTGGTGGAGGCCCAACTTTGAAACATTTATGTATCCGTTCATCCCTGCGCATGTGACGAGACCGAAGGAGTGCAAAAAGCTTTATTTCATTCAGCTGCCCAAGCAAAGTAGGTTAATTGGAACCAGTCCATGATCCGGTACTAATCCCTGTTCGCAGAGGTTTTGAGCGTCCCTAAGAACATGAAGCTCCTTGCCGTCCCTCTCTTCGAGCTCTACGACAATACTGCGCGATATGGCCCCCAGCTTTCTGCGATTCCTCATCTGCTGAGCCGATATAACTTTGAGTTTGTGGACGAGAATGGCAACGTTGTTGCGGCGACTCCAGGTTCTGCCGCACCAGAGGGTTATGTACCACACACAAAAGTGCTGGCAGGCGACGATACAGATATGAAGGAAGAAAATGGGACAAGCTGATCTCATTTTAGAATGCGGAGACATGGCGATGGTGTTTGGGGCGTTATTGGTATTTGCGTGTATAGGCAACATTCTATTTTTATACGTCAATGTCTGTTTCCTCTATGTATTTCCTTCAAGCCTTCTCTCCCTGAATGGTTGCGACGACTCGTCGCTGATGGCGGGCCGCGCGGAACTCGAGATACCAGATTCCTTGCCAGGTTCCAGTTGCCTAGGGTGGTGTCAGTTGTCTCTAGCCACAAGGAGCGTCGGTTGGTACTGACCAGCTTTCCATCCTTGATGGGGATGGTGACACTTGCTCCAATGAGTGCAGATTTGATATGAGCAGGCATGTCGTCGGGGCCCTCGGCACTAACGATTATCAACATTGGTCTTTGTGCGACCTACACAATAAGTACTTACTCATGTCGGTAGAGGGCCTCCCCCTTTAGTCCCTCAGCCGGAGCAATTCTGTCGAGGGCATCACTCATGTCTTCACGGACATCAGAGTCCCCTATATCATCCGTATATTAGAACCTAGATACGATAAAAATTTAAACAAGACCTTGGACTTACAATTCTCGTTTAAGCTCAGAGCGCAGCTTGTGTGCTGAACGAAAAGATTCAAAAGCCCGACTTTGTAGTCACGAATCTCAGGAAGAGAAGAGACAACCTGATCGGTAATAAGGTAAGATCCTCGCGACTTGGCGGGCAGTGTAAATTGCTTCTGGAACCAGCTCATAGTTGCTGCTGTTGAGTGGTCTATCACTGGGAGAGCAGTTGGGCGGGGTTGTGACGATCCTGAGAAACCAAGTAGACTAAAAGGCAGTGTCCAGAGGAAATGAAAAGCGCCGGGGAACAAAGATATCACAATTAAAAAGCACAGAAGTACTGGTGTTGTTGCGGAGCTCAGTCGTGATGTTTGAGGTTGAGGCATAGCTTTAGAGTGATAACCTGGTAGTTAACAACCGTCATAGTGGGGCAAGGTTGGAGTTTGAATGGGTACGGAATTCAATATCTTCTTAAGCTTCCTCGAACCAATCACAGCGCACCATTTATAATCGCATCTACAGGTCGTTCAATATCAAGTGCTATCCTTTTATGTGTGCAAGAGCCTAAGTTACGCCTCATATGTAGCGACACAGGTCAGAACGTAGCAGAAGACATGAGGCCTAAGCCGGGGTTAAAAAGAAGGATAATCGTCCAGACGCCTCAGTCTCAGCGGTTAAGACGTTTCTTCTCTTGCGTTGGCAGATCAATCTTTCTGCTACTTCAAGAACAGAGTATGTTTAGACTTCCAGAACGGTCTTGTGTTACTAGAGACATGTTGCCCTCGAGTACCGACTCAGCAGCATAACAATTACAGTATGGAACCTGCCGTGGTTGATTCGTTCGTTGTATTCGCATGATATGTACAGAGGCTTGGGTTTCACTTGCAAAAATAGCATAGTATTTGGATTTCTTTATCCCCCTCGCGTAGGTCTAGTGATGTAGATGATGTTCCTTCCCTTCAGATTCAATCTTTCCTTGCTGATTATGAGAGAGGGTAGGAAGTCTCAGGGAGGGATTCGAGATGGGTGCGGTGGTGTTCATGAGCCTAGTAGATGTGAGCAAAAGCCAAAAGGAGTAAGCATGGAATCTCGTACAAAAGGCAGGCCGCAGTAACCGCAGACAGCAATCTCGGGCTTGTCAGTGTTGATGAAGACCCTGGGATGGCCTTCAGGACCGCCGCCACCGTTGCAGGCAACAATTCGCTCGTGGGTCCATGTGACGGGCTGCTTGTGGATCATCTCAATAGCAGCCTTGGGTTGAGGCTATCACATAGTTAGCCGATCTGATATTCTACCATAGCTCTCAAGTCGGCTGTACCTGAAGGTCGAAATCGGTCTGCTCGAATCGGGGGCCGGCCATAGCTTGAGAACGAGGCTTCTGGCTACGTGACCAGACACCCGCACGATTGGGAGCCTGGTTAATGACGGCGGGCTTGTTCTCGTCGGTAGGAGCGGGCGATGCCTCGTTGGTCTTGGTCGAGACAGCGGCCTCGAATTGCCGAGCGGAGGTGGTGAAAGCACGCTGGGAGACGCGCGCGCTGCGCGCAAGGACGGCAATTGCCCTCAATTGAGACGTAGCCATTGTGTATAAGTCGGTTTCCGGGTATGCGGATCGATTCGACAGTCTCGACGCTGAATAGTCTGTTGGTGGTCGTGAGGCATTGAGCCTGCCTGTTGACGATTGATGCCTCGGAGCCCCAGTTTATCCGTGGACCGAAACATTTTTTGGGATTACTGAGCGCCTCAAATGAAATGCGACCAACAGCCAGGCATTTCTTTTGCGACAAACACAATTTAGCTGGCTCTTTGCACACCGAACACGGGAAGGACTTGTAAATCGATTTTGGAGATATTAATCGCAACAGAAAGGTGGCCACTTTCTGCAGCTATTTTCATCCTTTGTGTTTGCGACACCCGGCCTGTGTGCCCAGGATACAAGCTACAACATCACCAAATACGATATTTCTTTGCGAACTTTCAAGTATCGACCGATCGAACTTCCCACCATGGCGCCAGAAACACCGAGAGCAGTCTCTTCGAGATTGCTCACCATGAAATTCATGCAACGAGCCGTGGCCTCGGAGAACTCATCTCCCGCTTCAGAAACACATTCATCCAAGAAGAGAAAAACGGATCACTCGTCACCGGCGGGTCGCCTCGATCTGAACATCGATCAGGCTGCGATTCAGGCCGCGCTAGATGCCCAAGAAACAAAACGTCAAGAGGCTCTGGAGAAACATGTCGGTGCTGATACACGTTGGGTGCTGAATAACTCATTCGCTGGGTCAAAAGCTACCAGCCAAGCAAAAACACCCATGAATGTCGTTTATGTTGGTTATGGTGACATTGACTCTTCTAACGATTCAGGCGACAATGAAGATGCGTTGACTGCGGGGCGTACCTCGACAAATAGCTCCAAAAAGGCGAACAACCAGGCACGTCGATTACCTTGGCCAAATACAAGAACTTGCACAGCTGACTAGTGATTATAGAAACAACCACAAAAAACGCCCGATGATGACGAAGACAGTGAAGATGAGAACTCGGACGACGCAGATACACCATCACACGGACTGAAGCGGAAGCCATCCACTGACAGTCCAAGCCGCTCACGTTCAAGGTCTCGATCAGGACCCAGCCATGAAAATACCAAGGCTAAAGAGTTCCGTGATAAGAGGAAAAAGAAGGAAGTGAAACTGAGCAGGCCAACATCGATTTCCGGGGGCGGCATCTCCTCAGGGGGCGGTAGTCAATTCTCGTCCGCCGGTGGAAAATCCATGATTTGCTACAAGTGTCACCAGAGCGGCCATAAAGCCGTTGACTGCACTAAAAGGGGCTGAACGGTGCTGGCGTAAGACTAAACTAGATGTTGACCTCGCGATGCCTTTGTGGTTCGATGTAGGCTGGTCGCTGTACCAGGTTTGGCCTTTCACATCTTTCGTTTTCTTGCCCCTAAATTTCCGTCAACATCCGGTGAGGATGCTAATCATGCATCCATGTACGAACCTCGGGCTTCGCTTTTCTGTACTCAGAATGGATGTGCTAGTCTTTCAGACTCACTTACGACACATACACAAATAGGTGCTATGGACATGATTTTTCTTATCGCTATTTTTCTCAATAGCACATGATAAGGAGAGGCGTTCAAACACAAAACAAAATAGAGAAATACATGTTAAATAATCCACGCCTACTCTTGTGCCGTGCTGCCTGAAAATCTTTTGCCGACACCCTTCTTCTATAGTGACCAACAAGCACTCAACTATGAGAGTCTTTGAGACCCAACAAAGTACAGATCAGTATCTTTCAATCATATTTTATTAGCAATGCGATGCGTGCTGACTGTCAAATTACCCGATAGTTATCTCTTACTAGAATGATGCTGTTAACTGTACCTATGTAGATGTCTTCGGATATCTGACAAGGGGGTTAGCTACAAAATATGACATCTGGATACCAGTAATTAGTGGTTCATTTCCGGATAGCAGTGTTTCGGCAACGAGTATGTATCTATATTCAGATCACAAAGTGCTGCATCTTTTGACTATTTCTACTGATCACAGACTACACTCGATTAGGATGACTCATGGCCTACAAGGGAATGTCTCGAGTGCAGTGGTTTACTCTTCTTGTTTCTATTTACTGCAATGATTAAGTCATCCCGTATGAGTATATATATATTCATCTTTATCCGTACATTTCGACCCCAAAACTCGCCATAAACCTTCCTTTGCACAACATACGGAGCATCCTGCACACCAAAACCCATTTATAACAAATACCCCAGCACTATCATATCCACATAGCCCAGTTTCCGACAAATCAAAGTGCAACAAAATATTGTTGAACTAGAGCCAAGTCTTGGTAAGACATTTGACCAACAAGGTGCCCATCTATCATTTCATCTGGAGCAAGTGCACTACGTCGCTATTCCTCAACCCGAAGCACCTCAATTTCTTAGATTGCCTATCGAGTACGAGAACTTTTCATTGATGGCCGTACATCTCATATGTGTAGGCAGTCTTTGTGAATTTCCTCTGCTTGTTTACGTTTGGTGTTACCATCCATAAACCACTTCTGTCTTATATCCGGCTGCGCTTCGTCTTGGCCAGTGACGGCACAGGCAGGGATGCCCAATTGTCTGTTCGGACGCGAAATGATCTCCCGCGGACCAGGGGTCAGTTTCCTAGGCCAGGTAGACTTCCATCATCGGAATCATGTCTTGCTCAACAGCAGAAGCGAAGAAGTGACTGCCTATCTCAAATATTTTACTATTTTGATTGGAATCGTAACGCAAATGCTTCTATTATCTATTGCAAAATAATAGACGCAGGGAAACAAATGGTCATAGCTAACTTGAAACTCAGAAACACACCAAAGAACGCCTGGTTGCATCGATCGACGCTCGTGTAAGTAATCTCTTGCCCTCCCAACTGCAAATAGATAAAAGAGAGGCAAGGCAATCCCAATAACACATATCCCTTGTTTCTTATTGTTACACAAAATCTGCTCCGGTATTCCATGGAGTCTTTATGATGGCTTATTATATCATAACGACAATAAGAGAGTTGCTGACGAATTACGAATTAGTTAAAAAGCCACTCCTCTTAGACAGCTCACGCCATTGAAGAGAACCGAACTACATCTATCGAGAGGAATTGGATAACTGTCCTTTTCTCTGATAACAATTCAAAAACAACCCCAACGGACTGAACTCTTACTTCTTCGACTAGGCCACTGTCACGCTGTTGTGTTCCTTGAAGGTCAGAACTAAACGTGGTCGAGCTATTATCCGATCTCAATACTCCACTATCATTATCGTCTGCCACGCCTCGGAAGCTGTCGTCCCAACAAGGTGTTTTTAAGGGTCTTGATCCCGACATTTGAGAACCCAGCCCCAAATCTGAACGGAATCCGACATTGATCGACCAATACATATCCCATCTGTTCATACCTAGTACCTGGCATAACCAAGCCGTAAACTAGAAATTTTCTGAACAACACAGCAACAGATACAGTATTATCAGAACGTAATTGCATAGAGCAAACCTCCGCAAGTGATCTTTTTCGCCCTATCTACCCACCTCACTGGTAACATTACTCCACAGAGTTAGCAGATCGCTACTTCTGCACAGACCCTTGACTTATATTTTCCTGTCTGCATTGCGTGTGCTCAGTGGCGCACCCCACAAGCTCTACGTATTCAAAGTCCCTTATGACATCTCGTCATCAAAAGTGCTTCAGTCATAGAGCGTAGGCTCAATAACCTGACTCAAGTATACCGTCAGTTTACGCCAGCACGATCCTAACCCTAGTCAGTTAGAGCTCAGAGACTGAGGAAACTAAGCTAAGGTACTCTCCATGACCCTGCAAGCTTAATGAGGCGAGGAATAACTGACCTGTAACCCTGGTAGATACATTGCCGCTACAAGTAGCAGACCGCCAGGACGGGAAAGCTTCATCGTCCACTGTGCCACACTACCCCTCGTCGTCCATCGTCTCGCCCCTCCAACTCCTTCGGCTCTCCCCCGCGACAGCGACAGCGACACACGGCGCCCTACCCTGCCCTGCCCTGTAACCATACCTACGGGACGGTACTTGTCACCGTACCTTACTTTACTCTTACATTGGATTGCTGCATCTACACTTCTGTATCAATCTCTTTTTCTCGTTCCTCAACGTCAATTGGATCACATTCCGGTACTCTACGCGCCAAAGTGCTCGACATCATCCAATCGCCTCCCCTTGATACCTGCGTATCACCGCCAACTTGAACAAATCCTTGCGGCCAATCGAAAAATCCTTCACCTTCTAACTTGACTCTTCTGTTCGGTCGCTTTCTTTCTTTCTCTTTTGGATACCTTTCTAGTTGTGTCGGTGTAGGATTTGGTCTCAATATTCTGGTCTTGCGCTTGCAACATCATACACAATGCCTCATTTACAGCATGACGAGGGTGCCTCCGCAACAGCGGCTGGCTCCCAAATACCGGTGACACTTGTGGCCGACTCTCTCGAGAAGCCCTCGCTTGACGATCGCGACTACCGAGTCATTCGACTTAGCAATGAACTTGAGGCTCTTCTGGTACACGATCCCGAGACCGACAAGGCCAGTGCTGCCCTTGACGTCAATGTCGGAAACTTCAGCGACGAGTCTGATATCCCCGGTATGGCCCATGCGGTCGAACATGTAAGCATTTTCATACATGCTGTATTACATAGACTGTGCTAATATTTTTGTTCGTCAGCTTCTTTTCATGGGCACGAAGAAGTTCCCAATTGAGAACGAATATGGTCAATATCTCTCCGCCAATTCAGGAAGCTCTAATGCTTACACCGGACCGACCTCGACAAACTATTTTTTCGACATTTCTGCCAAGCCAGATAATGACCAGGATCCTTCAGATACCAACCCTTCTCCTCTGCGTGAGGCTCTAGATCGATTCGCGCAGTTCTTCATCGAGCCTCTCTTTCTTCCCGAGACTCTCGACCGAGAACTCAAGGCTGTCGACTCGGAGAACAAGAAGAATCTTCAGAATGATACCTGGAGACTTCACCAGCTTGAAAAGTCTCTATCTAACCCCAACCATCCGTTCTGCCATTTCTCGACCGGTAATTTCGAAGTCTTGAAGACCCTTCCAGAGGCACGTGGGATCAATGTCAGGGACAAGTTCATCGAGTTCCATGCCAAGCACTATTCAGCGAATCGCATGAAGTTGGTTGTTTTGGGCAGAGAGCCGCTTGACGTGCTCCAGAAATGGGTTGCTGAGCTTTTCTCTCCTGTCGTTAACAAGGAACTCCCTCCCAACAGATGGCCCGACGAGCTACCGTTCAGAGAGTCTGACCTCGGAATGCAATGTTTTGCCAAGCCTGTTATGGATTCGAGAGAGCTGAACCTCTATTTCCCCTTCATCGACGAGGAGTTCATGTTCGCCACTCAGCCCAGTCGGTATATCAGTCATCTTATTGGGCACGAGGGTCCTGGCAGTATCATGTCGTATATCAAATCCAAGGGCTGGGCGAACGGGCTCAGTGCAGGTGCCTATCCCGTATGCCCTGGCACTCCTGGTATTTTCGATGTGCAAGTTCGCTTGACGGAAGAGGTAAGCAAGAACCCGATAGTTTTCGTAAATAGAAAATACTAACATCATGCTGCAGGGTCTCAAGAACTATCCCGAAATTGTCAAGATTTTCTTCCAGTACGTCACCCTATTGCGCGAGAACCCTCCGCAAGAGTGGATCTTCGAAGAGCAGAAGGGAATGGCAGATGTCGACTTCAAATTCAAGCAAAAGACACCCGCTAGCCGCTTTACGAGCCGAATCAGCTCTGTTATGCAGAAGCCTCTTCCGCGAGAGTGGTTGCTCAGCGGTCATAGTCGTCTCCGAGAATTCGCTCCTGACCAGATTGAGAAGGCTCTTTCTACCATTCGTCCGGACAACTTTCGCATGGTTATTGTGTCACGAAACCACCCCGGCAACTGGGACCAGAAGGAGAAGTGGTACGGAACTGAGTACCGCCATGAGAAGATCCCTGGCGATCTTATGGAGGAGATTAAGAAGGCCGCCACAGTCTCTCCCGAGGAGCGCTTGTCGGCCCTTCATCTACCACATAAGAACCAGTTCATTCCTAACAAGCTTGAGGTTGAGAAGAAGGAGGTCGACGAACCTGCACTGAACCCGCGAGTGCTTCGCAACGACAACATTGCCAGGACATGGTGGAAGAAGGACGACACTTTCTGGGTTCCTCGCGCGAACGTGATCGTGAGCCTGAAGACACCCCTTATCTACGCTTCCGCCGAGAACAATGTCAAGGCCCGTCTTTTCACAGATCTGGTGCGTGATGCGCTCGAGGAGTACTCCTATGACGCAGAACTGGCTGGCCTGCAGTACAACGTCAGTCTCGACTCACGCGGTTTATTCTTGGACGTCAGCGGCTACAATGATAAGCTTCCCGTCCTTCTAGAACAAGTTGTTACAACAATGCGGGACCTCGATATCAAGGAGGATCGTTTCGAGATCGTCAGGGAGCGGTTGACCAGAGGATACAACAACTGGCAGCTTCAATCGTCCTACCATCAAGTCGGTGATTACACCAACTGGCTAAATGCACCTGAGCGAGACTTTATTGTAGAAGAGCTTGCAGATGAGCTGTCGAGTGTTACTTTGGAAGGTGTCAGGCTGTTCCAGAAGCAAATGCTAAGCCAAGTCTTCATTGAGGTGTATGTCCACGGCAACATGTACAAGGAGGATGCTCTCAAGGCAACCGATATGGTTGAATCTATTCTAAAGCCCCGGGTGTTGCCCAGGGCTCAGTGGCCCATCCTGCGGTCTCTTATTCTAACAGAGGGCTCAAATCACGTCTTCAGGAAAACACTTATGGATCCAGCCAACGTCAATCATTGCGTCGAGACCTGGTTCTATGTTGGCAGTAGGGAAGACCGTGAGGTGCGCACAAAGACCCTGCTCCTAGACCAGATGCTTCACGAGCCTGCCTTCGACCAGCTGAGAACCAAGGAGCAACTGGGTTACATCGTCTTCAGCGGACCTCGAGCTTTCTCGACAACATATGGTTTCCGGTTCCTCATCCAGAGCGAAATGACGCCAGAGTTCCTTGATTCCCGCATCGAGGCCTTCCTCATGAGATATGTAGACACTCTGGAGAAGATGAGCGACACGGAGTTCGAGGGTCACAAGCGAAGTTTGATTGTCAGGCGGCTGGAGAAGCTCAGAAACCTAGATCAGGAGTCCACCCGTCACTGGTCTCAGATCACAAACGAATACTACGACTTTGAGCTCGGTAAGTTAAGATGAACCCGTGACTACCTTCAAGATGACTAACTGGTGCTAGCCCAACGCGATGCTGCACAAATCAAGTTGCTGACCAAGCCTGAGGTCGTGGAGTTTTTCAACAAGCACCTCAACCCCACCTCAACTAGCAGGGCCCGTTTATCGATCCATCTACAAGCCCAAGGCAAAGCCGATGGAGTCGACAAGCGACAGGAGGAGGCCCAGAAGAAGGCCGACGAGGAGCCATCTGCCGGAGACGCGGTGAAGACTGCTCAGGAGGTTACAGATGTCAGACTGTACAAAGCCGGTCTCACTGCCAGTTCAGGCGCCAGACCTGTAAAGGACATCAGCGAGTATGCAGATACCGATGCTAAGCTGTAAGAGCCCCTTTTTATGTCTCGAGCTCTTTAGTATAATTTGGATATTCCCTCAAAGGCGTGTCGATGGATGCATTTTAGACAGAGGCGTGATACATTGGTACGGTATGTTAGAGGGGGAAAGGTATGACGGTGATTAAAGATTTTGGGTGTACTTGTTTGAACTTGTTGTATAGGGGAAATTATCGGGCAGTGTGGACATTTAGCTAGAACAGTTTCCTTACTAGACAATGAGCGAATCCATAAACCTGAGTATGAAAACGATAATGTTGAACGATTTACTTCAATTTGGGCCGTTTGATTTTTAAAATGATAGGCATGTGAGAGGGACATATATTTTAGCAAGGTGCTACCCTAGATTCTGGTGTCATACAACCGACGTCGGGAATGTAGACTGATTGGTATTCCAAACTCAGAAAGCAAGTTCCCGCCAGGGGTAAAGGAAACACACAGATTGTGGAACTGTTGATCATGAATGAGATTGAGGGGCAAACGTGACGATTTAAAGGTTCTACTGCGTAGGTAGTTATTAAGCCTTGCGGCTCTAAGCTATAACATTGAAGAGGAGCATACTTGTCACGACACCTCAAGACTTTGTGCTTGCATCCTTCGCATTGTAAATATAGGTTTAGATAGGTAGATAATTGGAGTAAGAAATGGTTTTCTTGAGATTTTTAACTATCACTGTCAAAGGGAGTATAAGTTTGTCTTATTCTAGAACAATCTGCCTACTAGCATTGGAGTTAGAGGCTGCAGGCTTACGAGGACCTAATATCCAACCCTGTTTGGTAGGCTGCCAACATGCGTATGGACACCTACATGGAAACGATTCATGGTTTGCTTGGATGTGGGGGAAGGGATTTGATCATTCGCTTACCGCCAAGTTCCAACTTCCGGTTAAAGCATGGAAACAACATTTCTTTGTTTTGCTTAGCCATTTAGCGAGTTTCTTTTTGCTGTGTTTTCAGCTGAAGCTTTTATTAATTGGAACTTTATGTCATAATCGTAGTAAAAAGGTTAAAAAGTTAAAAAGTAAAAAAAAAGCCCTGCGGTTTTGAGCCTGATTGCTGCAATCCCTCTATCGTCATCAGAGAGTACTAGCAGTATAGACTAGATACATTACATTAGCCCCCTATGGAATGAAGCCAGGCCACTGACTTGAGTACAAATTCGGCACAGCCCCTGCATCTCTTATTCATATTTTATCCATTTCATCGCTACTAATACGAGTGTACTTTGACCCTGATTGAATCTCAAAGTATGGGTGTCTGCCCAAATGCCTTAGTACTAATAAATCAAGGTTAACAGCCTTGCTCACCTGTTCTCAAATCCAGGGCCATGCGCAAGCCAGGTATGGAGCCCAAATATTTAGAGTGTCAGCCCCACACCGTCATTCTCAGCGGTCACAGCCCGGTCCCAAGGCCACTGGACTGCTGTGATCCATCATAAAAAAAATATAACTTTAGAGCCTGCCAGCCCCCCCCCCCCGCCTTCTTCCCGCCAGTGAAAAAATATATATTTCTTTCCTCGAACTGATTTGGACTGGATAACAGGCTTTGTTAGTCCCATTTTCGAAAAGAGTAAATGCAACAAAATCCCTGCTGTTACTCGTACCTTCGATACGAACGGTCGTTGTTTCCCACGATTTCTGTCCCCCTTCGTCACCATCAAAGGCAGAGACAAGGACAAGGACAAAGAGGAAGACGCCCCGTCTTTCCCCTCCGCCCCTCTAGCTCCAACACCCCGAGCTGCCCGGGCAGCTCGCCTTCAAGACGTCGTCCTCAAAGAAGAGAAAGCTCTTGCGAAAGGACGAGCCCGTAGAATCGATTGACTCGCCGTCGCCCCCTTCTGATTCGGTCCTGCCCTCCTGCGAAGTCGACGACGATCCCGCCTTCTCCTTCTCCGCCTCCGTGGCCGATACTCAACCTGCCTCGAGCCTCCCCCCACGTCTCCAGACTCAGAACAGCTCCTTTGCCTCGGCCGACTACGCTTTATCAGCTGCTTCAAGCCCTTGTGCTTCCGCCTACGCCGACCTCTCCATCGAAAGTGATCGTGGCGGCGACGAGACTGGCTCGGCCCGAACCTTGGCCAGAAGCCAGTCCCCCTTGCGTCTCTCTCATCGAGCTATCATGAACGGCGATGCTGACCTACCTCACCGTTCCTCATCGCCTTTGAAACGACGTGCTTCCAGTATGGATCCCGAGAACGAAGCGGATAAAACCCGGGATGTCGACATGGGTTCATCACAGGTTAAGGAGTCTGTCGAGGGCCCATCTCAACCATCATCTGCAGACACCTTGCCTCGAGCCATGAGTGTCGATGCGCCTGAGTCTGCCGTGCCCTCGGCAGGCGATGCCTCCCCGTCTCAACGTAAGGCCTATGCGGTATCTAGTTTGCATTTAACAAGCCCTCAACTAACTCTCATGCCACAGCAATCCCCTCGTTGCAAGAACAAATTAAGATCATTGAGACTCTTTTGACAGCCTTTCAAGATTCACAGCCAAAGGAAGGGGAAAAGGCCTACCTTGTATCGAATACTTGGGTCCAGAAAGCACTTGCGTTGCGCGGCGACTCAAAGGACGCCCATGAGCACGATTCTACATCAAACCCCCTTGGACCTGTAGACAACTCGGACATCATTGAAGAAATTGTCAAAGAGCCTACTGGCAATGAATTCATTCGTCTTAAACAAGGAACCAACGAGAATGAGTTCACACTCTTCCCTGAGGATGCTTGGAAGATGGTTGTAGATTGGTATGGTGTAAAGGATGGCCAAGGCGCTATTGTTCGGACTGCTATCAACACAACCGACCACGGCGACGAACCTGTCATCCAGTTCGAGTTCCACCCTCCAGTTTTTGCAGTTCATCGCCTGTGGTCAACTCTGAGTCCACTGCCTATTGAGCAGTCACTCAAAGCCAAGAACCCCCCTCCTTACAAATTCGCCAGAAGCCGTAAATACCATGCTCAAACTTTTGTCAAGGAGTTGAAGACGGCCACTGGCGTTCCGATTGACCGAAAGATTCGTCTATTCACCGTGCCCGAGGTCCAGCAGATCGTCGCTCCCTCAGAACCGTCCCGAGCACTCACCCCTCCGGATTCTCCAGGCCGAGACGAGAGCAGAGTCGAGACTGCGGATTCTTGGTCAAAACTTCTCTTGGATATCACATCATTCGAGCGTGTTCGTGACACCAAGATCCAAAGTACCCTGGAAGACAAGACCACCCAACCGAACTTTAACGGTGGATCGGCGTTGTCTCTTTTTAATCTGGTCACCGACCAAACCCTTGTTATTGATGAGGCGATCGAAAAGGGATCCTGGGTCAGCACATACACCGGAAAGAGCCCACCGAACGGGTTGGCCATCCCTACCAGAAGCGGCATAGCATCTTCCAATGTGAGCGGCCGAAGCAGTCCTGCTCCTGGTGGTGCGCTGACACGCGGACGAATGGGAGGGAAATCCGGCCGTAGCATTGGTGTTGTTGGCCTTCAGAACCTGGGAAATACTTGCTACATGAACTCGGCCCTCCAATGCGTTCGGAGCGTTGAGGAGTTAACAAAGTACTTCCTGACGGATGAGTTTGTCGAAGAGGTCAACAAGACCAACCCCCTAGGATACAACGGAAAGGTTGCTACGACGTATGGACAATTACTCAAGGAGATTTACTCGGAAAATAGGGGTTCTGTGACTCCACGAGATTTCAAGAACACCATTGGTCGGTGCCGGTCAACCTTCTCTGGCTACGGTCAACAGGACTCTCAAGAATTCCTTGGATTTCTGTTGGATGCCCTCCAAGAAGATCTAAGCCGTGTCAAGAAGAAGCCTTATATTGAGAAGCCGGACTCCACCGACGACATGATTAACAATCCAGAAGCTATAAAGGAGATGGCTGACAAGGTGTGGGATATCACTCGACGCCGAGACGACTCTGTCATCGCCGATCTCTTCACGGGTTTGTACAAATCGACACTTAAATGCCCCGAGTGTGGCAAGATCAGTATCACATTCGACCCTTTCAACAACTTGACACTCCCCATACCTGTGGAAGACGTTTGGACGGCCAAGATCAAATTCCTGCCCCTCAATGATGCCCCAGTCATGATCGAGGTTGAACTACCTAAACACAGCGCTATTGAGCAGCTCAAGCAATTTATCTCCATCCGGACGGATATTCCACCGGAAAGATTGATTGGTGGCGAAGAGTACAAGGATAGGTTTTTCAAAATCTATGATAACACCAACGATGTCAGCGAAGAGATCAGTAAGAATGATATCGCCACGTTCCACGAGTTGGATGCCACTCCTACTAATTGGCCACACAAGGCCAAGAAGCCTCGCTCAATGTTAGATGTGGACACTCCTCTTGAAACTGAGAATTGGGATGATCCGCGATATGAGCAGATGGTAGTACCTGTATTCCACCGCATTCCGTCAAATTATGCACGTGGTCGAGAGGGTGTGGCTCCTCCCAGCTTCATTTGCTTTACGAAGGAGGAAGCTTCTGATATCGACCTCATTCGACGCAAGGTCCTGGAAAAGGTCGCTACCTTTTCAACCTGGCCCAAGCTGAGAGACGTTACAGAAGAAACCTCAGACAATGCCGACGGGGAAGTTATTACTTCGGCTTCAGATGCCGACTCGTCAGGCGACAGTAAGGTTGTCGCCACCTCGGTTGAAAGTGAGGACGATATCGTGGATGTGCACATGAAGGATGACAGTGACCGTCTTCCTCATCAGCCCCAGATCTTGAAGCGGTTCAACACAAACCGACCAAAGTTCATCAAGCCAGATAGCTTCCTGGACCCCGAGCTTGAAAACCTTTTCGAGCTTTGCTATTTCACAGACAAATCTTACGCTGGCCATGTGCCTACAGGCTGGTCCAATGTTGATCACCATCAACTTCTGCCCAAACTGGCAGATCGAATCCCTCAGCCTACACCTGAGGGTGATGATGCTGCTAGTCGTGATGACGAAAGCAGCACACCTTCAGTCAACGAGGATGCGAGTAGCACCGATGAGAGCATTAAGGCTGAGGTAGCACATACCCGAATGGCCGAGGAATCTAGCGAAGAAGACGCACAAGAAGCTCCACGCGTAAGTCACCATATGAGATCTTTTTTTTTAACCCCGTCACTCATACAATATAGAAATTCAACGGCCGGCCATCCAAGATAGGGCCTCATGGACGACGTGGCAAGATGAAAGGCCAGAAATACGGCAAGAAGGCCAACAAGCGCCGAGAACGCATTCAGAACAAGAAAAACAAGGCAGCTTCTGTTAAGCCGCAGCCACAACCTCCCGCTGTCGCTGACGGTGGCCCTCTTATTCGCCTTGGCGAAGGTCTTGTCGTGGATTGGAACGATGAAGCCTGGGATAAGGTCTTTGGTGGCTCGAAGACGTCTGAAGAGCAAGGAGCCCCCACTTACCTGACACTCGAGACACTCAACGATACGGCCCTCAAGATTGTTCAAAGAAGGAGGAAGCATCGCCGTACCCAAGGTATTACATTGGATGAATGCTTGGACGAATTCGAAAGAGCCGAGGTCCTCTCCGAGCAAGATATGTGGTACTGTCCCCGCTGCAAAGAGCATCGACGAGCCAGTAAGAAGTTTGATTTATGGAAATCACCAGATATTCTTGTAGCCCATCTCAAGCGATTTAGTAGCTCCGGCTACCGCCGAGATAAGCTAGACGTCATGGTTGATTTCCCCATCGAAGGTCTTGACCTTACTTCCAGGGTCATCCAGAAAGAAGATGGCAAGGACGAGATTTATGACTTGATCGCTGTCGATGACCACTATGGAGGTCTTGGGGGAGGCCATTACACTGCCTATGCCAAGAACTTTGTTGATGGGCGCTGGTACAATTACAACGGTTAGTGTTTACCTTTGTGCTCATGTTATGGAAGAAACAACAAACTAACAAACTCAACAGATTCTTCAGCATCTCCAGTATCTGACCCTGCTTCATGCATTACATCGGCTGCTTATCTACTCTTCTACCGCCGCCGTTCAAGCACCCCTTTGGGAGGATCGCGGTTCGGAGTCATCTCTGAGAAGTATAGGAACAGCGAAGAGAACTCCGAAGTGGAAGACGCCGAGGCGGGGGAAGGTCAGCGTCTCGGCGAGGGTTCCTCCCTGGTTGGGTTGTCGAGCGTTGGGATCGCAGCCGCAGCAACTCGCCTTCCGACCGGCCGTGGTTCGGATAAAATCACTGGTACTTCCTACCCTGGTCCAGATGAAGATGGTGACGGCCCCCCACCATATGGGGGTGTCGAGGATGAAGGTGTCGATGTCAAGGAGGGATATCAACAGCTGAGCAGCGGACACCTTGCTCAGAGTTGGAATTTCGGGGCACTAGGCGATAGCGGCGCCGAGGACTCTACAGGTGCAGACATTGCCTCTGACGATGCTCAGTTGGACTCATCAGCGGACGAGCGTGGCTTCAGCCAATTCGATGAGCCCGATATGGGACACGATCTCATGGATGTTGACCATGTAACTTCAACATCCCACAAGACGACTCTCGCAGATATTGAGAAAGCTACTGGTGACCACAAATCTGTGATTGACGTACCAACTGCAGCAGGTAGCGATCGAGATTCAAGCGAAGTGGCCGAAATTCATCTTGAAAACGAGAAGGGAACGAAGGCCGAATAGGGCGGCTCTCCAAAGTCGAAGAACAAACTGCCCAGGGTCATAATGACATATGGCAGTCGTGACTGTCGAAACATGAGAAAACGGCGACATGAGAATGAGATGATGACCCAGTACAAACCAACATGTGGAAAATATGTTGAGAGAGTTGTAGATAGAAAGAAGCGGCGTGTGGTATAGATGGTACATATCTACTATCCCTCTCCGTGTAACTAGCTCACATTGGGCTGAAGGGTAGAGAATGGCGTTCGGTATGATTCTGTTTGCATCAAGCATGTCCAGCTGAACGGGCCTGAGAAGGTTGTTAAAACATATGGTTTATACGAGTAGCTCAAGCAGCGGAGAGGCAAAACAATGGATAGTTTATACCAAGAAGACTCGCGTCTTGAATTCCTATCATGTACGTGATAAATGATCACTTTGGCTGCCTGTTGAGTCACCTCGGACGAATGGTACAGACACGAAGAGTCATACCAACCACACATGCATTGATTAGATTAAGGCGAAGTCGGATATTTCCAATCAGAAAACCGTCGATTGGAGCCTATGTGAATATTTCAGAACGAGCCATTCCTGGCGGAAGCTAGATCCGCAAGTCTAGCAACAACCAACCTTTAATACCGTTTTTTTTTCTTCTTTTTTTTTTTTTTTTTTTTTTTTTTTTTTTTGCTTAGTATTGGCGAACAGCAACCATGAAATGGTATCTCCGGTTCGTAATTCAACGAATATCACATCACGAGGGCTGGAGCGTCCGATGTCGCCATCCCCACGTTGTGTGGTTCCGATGACATGGCTTCCCCAGTCAAGACCCCTTCCCTAATTAAGGATATCATCCACTTGCAGATAACACTCGGAGGTCTTTGTAAACAGAAAAATCAGGGGCATCTCGGAAACCGCTCTATTTGAAGGTAACCCCGCATCTCCAGGAAATGAACAGCATGGTGGAAGGTTATTATGGTTGAAGAGTATTCGATGAATCGAGACCAGACTCTATGGAGACTGTGGGCGGGTAGTAAGCAATTGGTAATATACAACGTCTCGGTCCCTAAAGGTTTGTTCAAGCTCAGGGCAGCCTATTTAATAATCGAGCAACTGGGCACTCTGCGACTAGACAGGAACTGCTCAACACCAATTCTCTCTCCACTCAAGGGGGCGGCTGAGATCAAGAGCCAAAGGAGCGGCCGCTAGACTGAGGGCGTCAAGGCATCGCGATGACTGCGTCTTTTCTACTCTGTACCGAACAAACCGATATGCGCATTTTCGATTTGCTGTGATCATTTCACAGTTAAAGAATGAGTTATTTTGTGCCTGGATCCAACTGCCAGCCACCTGGGTCCAGCCACCTTCTTAGCTTCTTTATGAATTTAGGACAGAGTTAAGCCAAAAACAACAAGGGACCACTGCTGAGATAAAACGATGAATGTTCAAAATCCACAAGGGTCACGTTCCAAGATTGGGGTTGTTGGTATCAGCCCACTAACAGGACGAACAGGGAGCCAGAAGTCAATAGTTCGGGAAGCCCGTTTTTGTAAGAAGCTCTGGTACCTGACTCTATCGTTAACAACACAGGCACAAGCAAACCATCACTAATGACAATGGAATCCTTTGCCGGTCCGGTATGGTAAGGACCCACTATGGAGAGGTTCATGGGGCTTGCGGAGCCTCTACCAGCGACCAAATCACTGGAGGCATGGCCAGTATGAGCAAAAATCGTTCGTCTGCGGATATATGTTGCAATTGAGAAATCGAATAAGCGAAGCACCAGTGCTTGAAATAGAACTAGCTTAGCCAGCTATGCTCTTTGAATAACCAGAAGATAGATGAGAAAGGAATCAACTGTTGAGTATTGCAGAGATCTCTTGGTTTATGGAGTGCTTTCAGAGTCAAACAGGCCTACCAGGCACAGCTTTGTACCTCGGTTCGGGGGGGTTCCTGAGGTGGAGTTGGTTTGTGGATGAGAGCACCTTCTCTCATCTTGAGGCTCGAAGCGGAGTCTTCTGGGCCAGTGGTTGGCAGATCCAGTCGGGTCTTCGGAGGCTACAGGCTTTCGGGTCCTGGCGTCATGGCTTTGGCATTTCAAGATACTAACAGCTAAGGCGCGCGGTGGTTCCTGTAATTGCTCCTGCGGCCCACTGTCAGTATGGAAAGGCTGGAAAGAAGCATGCGTATCGCACAAAACCCATGAAGGTTGACTTCTCCATCATTCCCCAGGACAGATTGTAGACGAAGACTGGGTAGGTTGGCTGGAAGCCACTTGGTTCAATAGAGCCCTGCAACACTTTGCCCCTTTCGGCACAGTTCCTAGACCAGAAAGCTTGTGTGAGTGTTTTGTGTCAGCTACAGTGCAGCAGCACCTACAGTAGCACCTCACTTCAGAGAAAACGAGACATAGAATTTGGGGCTTATGGGGTATCCCTGTACCAATTCGAATAACGAACGCACAAAGGTAAGATACGCTGTTTTCATCCTTTATTTCGCATGGTGATGACCTCTGGTAGCTACTGACAGCCATTCTATACCCAAAGCGTAGCTCTTGCGTACCTCGTCTCTTAGTAGCCTCATTAGAGGCGGGGAGAGTTTTAAGCCAGTGCAGTGCGGGGCAGCGAACCTATGACCTATGGCAAATGCGAATGGCGATGGAATGGGGCAATGACAAGGGAATGAACAAGCAAGACAGGAGCGTTCGGAAGAATGAAGGCGGACGAGACTGTTGAAAGAAGTGCTGTATTCGAATAGTTGATAGGAATATCGGGTTTATCAAGTTAAAATCTGGCGATGCCAAGTGCGTTGTTTTATATACTAATTTTGTATTTGCTGTTCAGTTATTTGAATTTGTATCCATCGTGGGTTCAGGCTGTGGCCCATTGCTTGCGAATGAGCTAGCTGCCAGTGGTGCAAGCACCTGCAAGGAAAACCATCCCCGACACATACCTCTTACCACCTACCCTGTCACCTTACCTACCTGCCTACCTCCTGCCTTAGTAGGTAAAAGGCAAGTAAAACGAATGCTGCAACAGAGGGGGTAATGCGTTTGAATCTTGCCACAATTGTTGTTCTAGATTGCTTGACAGGATATCTTGTAATTGGGTACAGGTTAAGTATAAAGTTATTCTGCATTGCTGTTTAACGTCAAGTATTGTTCTGATGATATGAGAGGCTGAGAGGGCAACACCATACTGTATCAAGCCGAACCGTACGACTATGTGGGTTATGATGGTTCTCGTTCACAAAAGACTTTTTCGGGTTGACGAATAAAGCCAACTAATGATTGGACATTGTACGAGTTTCAGATATGATGAAATACCAGGACACCGACCGTCGTTGGACTTTGCATGACTGAGCTTTGTTCGCGATAGATATGCCATCTGCTAGATAAGCAGCTTTCAACTTTGATAAACAAACAAAATTGATGCGCAAGTAAGTCATTGATTACACGTGGTGTTATAGCGGAACACTGTGTGTTCAGACTGTGCTTCCTTCGAGAATGATTCTTGGTTCCCCTTTGCACTGCAGCCTTCCATGCACCCCTGTTGGATTAATATGGAGACTGTGACCCATTCTAGATTCTCGAAGACGGCCAGAAGAATTCAAAGCAAGCCGCTTGGACCCTCCTTGGTCAACACACTGCATACACGACGTAATTGGCCGTCGCAGTAAACAAGGGTACGTATGTAGTTCTGATCCCAGTCGAGGCGTGTGGAGCATGAGGTGGACTCTAGCCCAGTAGAACTGCCTTGGTGCCTCGCCTGCTCGCCTTTCGTTGCAAGTCTGTTCCCCTGCTTGAACGACGATCCTCCACTACACATCATATGCTGGATGAATTACATGTCCCCAACCTCACCCACGATACTTGGTGGGAGCGGCACAGCAGCGTATAGTAACCCTACCTGCGATGCTGAACAGTTTCATGCTAACGGTATTTGCGTGTAACTCGCACACCTGATGATATTGTCGTGTCGCCTGCTGACCAGTCGCTCGCCACTGCAAATCACTAAAACAACCTAGGGCCTCAAACACAGTCGCCAGCTCTGAATAGCTCAAATGGCACTTAAAGATTCCCTTATTAATAAATGAAAAAAAAAAGCCTCTTTGTAGGCTTGACTCTTCTCTGCTGTTGTAGGAAACAACAATGGGTATGTGGCTCCTTTAATCTCCTGGTCAGCTCTTTGATCAGACCTGCGTATTCATACCAGTCATTGTTCTAGAATTGATATCCGTTGTTATCGTGTTGCATGTACAGTTGCTTCGGTTGCGTCATCAATAGGTGGTCCAGCTGAGCTTACCACAAGCAATGAGAAGTTTCTAAATCAGCTGTTTGTGTGTAATACGGAGCATTCAATCCACTTCTTTGTTTCTGTGGCTGTTGTGGTTCCTTGCTTCTTTTCTGCTTCTTTTCTTATTCCTGTTGTCTCCCCCCATCAGATGTACACTACAAAGGGAATCTATTGTTTAGGTTCCATCTCACCTTGTTGGGCCCCTGCTGAGAAAAAGAGCCTGGGCTTTTAGACAGTCCCCTAAAAGGCATGCATGTAACTGAATTTAAGTCCAACGCCACTCGTCCAATTGCTGTTTCACAGGGTCCCTTAGTTCTGAGACCTTTTTCTTACTCATTTTTTCCTTACCCTCTCACACCTGTCTTTTATTGCCATACATCACTTCTTTGAATCGATTTGAATCAAACTTGACCTGGTCGCACCCAATTCTGACTCGCTGCACAAAATTAATTCTTCACAATTAATATTTTGTGCCGGTTGCACGGCAAGTTGTTCCACTAAGACGGTTGACAGTCTACTACTGAGTAACTCGACTGCCGGCGCCAGGCTTGGTTCCCGCCTCTGCTTGGTTGTCTTCGCTCTTGGCCTCGCTTCGTTGGTTCCTCTTTTTCTCGTCCTCGCCCTCGCCCTCTCCACATTCGAGTCCGATCCAAAGGTTAGAGCTTTGCAGTACAGTGCTGTGCTGCATCGCATTTCAATCCGATCGAATCTAGTCCAGAGCCCTGGGCGCTTCTTTTTCAGCCACTGTCCTCTTCTGCTTTTCATATTTATCCACCATGTACGTAGTCGGCGGTTTTACAAGCCTCTCTTTTCCTTATCTCACCCACCCTTGTAAGGCTCTCTCAAGCTTCTCTTTTGTTCTGTTCCTCCTGTCATTACGTCGCACCATTAGTCTATCCCGCCCGTACCTACCCTGCCTAACAGGTACTGTACGCTGTGCTATAGTTACTTCACTCCATCGCGCTGCTTTTTGCCGCTACTGTACACTTCAATTGCTCCTCCTCCGCTTGCAGCCACGCTCGCAGATCTTCTCCTTCCTCCCCGGACCCGGTTACCGCGACTGTCGGTGCCCTTGCCCTGCCTTGGGGCCTTCCCTTATCCTTCCCTAGTCCTTCCATTCCCCGGCCAGGGTCAGAACATCTTTTGCGTGCCGCTAAGCAGCTCTCGACCTGCAGTGCAGTACAGTAGGCAGGTAGTACCTGGGCTTGGACCAAGGAACGTCCTGTAAGCTAAAGTCCGGGCTGATACCTTCACATCATCACCCTGACACCATCCATTGTTCCTGGGCAGCCAGCGCACGCACTCCAGGCCAGCGACTACCATTGTTACTACTGTCGCTATTGCTGGTGCCGTCTTTGTGCGTACCTGCTCGTCTTGTCTTCAATTCCAACTTTCACTTCAACAACGTTCCTGCCTTATCTCTTTTCCTTCTTCTTTTCATCCGTCCCCTGCCCATTCCTTGTGGCCCTCTCCATCCCAGTCCAATCCGAACTTGGATCTGGAGTCTTCTTATCCCCTCCATTTACAATCCATCGCGTTTCCTCCTCCTGCGCCATCATTTTTCAAATCCCTCTCTTGTCCTATTCGCACCTTTTACCTTCACAAACGACTTTTGCGGCGTTCTTTCCCAACTCACCAGCTAATATCCGCCCCTCGGGTCTCAGCTTCGATTGGATTTTCGAATTAAACGAACCCTGCCGCCAACCGACAGCTCCCGCCACCGCGACGCCAGTTTGACAGTCTGTCCGACCCTCTCCAGGCGGAAACAACCATTTGGCTGTACCACCAAACTAGGTTCATTGAATCAACACAACTCGACAAACGTCGCATACGCCCACTCGGAGACAACTCGAAACCTGGGCCTCCACCCTTCCTTCTTACGACCAGTTCCTCGTATCGGCTCGAATGTCGTGCAGCTGCTAAGTCAATTTAGCTAGGCTGCTTCGCGATCGCTGCGTATTTCAATCACCACCTCTTGAGACCCGGTCACAATCTGCTCGCACTCTTTAGGCCCTTCCTCAGCTGGACTTACGAAATAATCTGGTCTCCGGCATTGCGCGAGGCTATTTTAGTTTGTAAATCGCCTTATCTTGGTACAAATTTTCAAAACTGCCCGAAGGGCCACGGTGCTCCAGTCGCGAGACTGGTAGCTCTCCATGAGCACCATGGAACGCGCCTCCTGTCACATAATCTATGTCAATCGCAATGTGAGCGAAGATGGCTTGATTCGTCGTACTTCTGGCGACGCCGCATCCGATTGGGCAACGGATGAGGCTCGTCAGGTTGTACAGCCTTTGTTGGATGCCTTTGGCGACGGTTCGTTCTTCGTTATGATGTCGGCATGAGTCATTTCTCCACTTACTAACTAATGATGCAGTTCACGTTTGCGCAACTGGAGGCGGCTGTTTGACGAAACTGTTTGAATTACAGGAGGGTTCCATGCTTGACTTGAAGCCAACTCTAGTACTGCTTGATACACCAAAAGACGATTCGATTCCTGACAGAAGGAGAAGGTTATCATCCCCCTCCCCCTCCTGTAATTCCTCATCAGAGAATGTCGACATTCACACCCCCGACGAAGATCTGTACGGCCTGGGCCTGCTGCAGAAAATTATCACCGAAGCGCACCTGCGTGGCATGTCTAAGCTTGTTGTCCCGATCCCGGTGATCAGTAATTCCGAGCCAGTGCAGTCCTACACTAATGGACAAATGACCGACGGTACTGTTGAGCAAATTCGTTTGCCATTGGCACCGCTCGACACGAATCGTCAACTCATAAGAAGATGCCTGGATCTGGGGGCCGTCGACGTCATTATTTGTCCAATGAGCACTAAGTGCATTACGAGTCTGGAAATTTGCGCTTATCGAGCCCACAGAGATGCAGCCAAGGAGCAATCAACCCTGTTAGAAATTAGGCAAGGCCGAAAGCGCTCATGGGTTGGTGTCAACGAAGAGAAACCGTTCGCATATCTGCGCGAAGCGATGGTTTCTGGACTCATGAAGGGAATTTGCCGTTTAGGCACCAGCGATGACCAGATCAACAATGCTCATGTTGCTGTTTCCTCGGAACGGCAATCTGCCATCGCAGAAGCGATAGGAACCTGGCGCTTTTGTGCTCATTCGTTCACTGATGATGAGCTGTTGGTTGCTGCGATGGACATGTTTAGACACGCCTTGGCAATGCCTGAACTTGAGCGTTGGCGGATACATGCAGGTACGTTTCCACTGTTTTGAACTGGTGTCGGCTATTCGCATACTGACTCAGCTCCAGATCAACTAATCAGCTTTCTCGTTGCTTGCCGTGCTGCATACAACAATTTTGTCCCGTATCACAATTTCCGCCATGTCGTGGATGTACTGCAAGCTACGTTCAATTTCCTGGTACACATTGGTGCTCTTGCACCCTATCCTTCGGGGGGGCTCGAACCCCCGCCAATGCCTGAAAAATCACCCATGGCTTCTCTCATCACTCCCTTCGAAGCTTTGACGCTTCTTATCACCGCTATTGGTCACGACGTTGGGCATCCAGGTGTGAATAACGGGTTCCTTGTGACACTAAATGCTCCCTTAGCCCAGCTGTACAACGATCGATCCGTTCTGGAGTCGTTCCACTGTGCAGCCTATTCACAGATCCTTCGTCGATACTGGCCATCCGCCTTTGAAGACACAAAGATGCGTAACCTTATGATTAGTTCCATATTGGCTACGGATATGGGCCTGCATTTCGATTATATGAAAAGGCTCGGAGATGTTCAAGAGCGACTTCAGGCAAGCAACACGACTGATGGATGGAATGGCCGGCAGATCGAAGAGAACAAGTCACTGGCTTGCTCGCTTCTCATCAAATGTGCCGACATCAGCAATGTAGTATGTTGGCATGTTCTCACTATGGCCGAGTCGAATGCTAACGAAAATTTAGGCACGAAGTCACGAAATAGCCTTGCAATGGACCTACATTTTATCAGAGGAATTCTCCCGACAGGCTTCAATGGAAAGTGAGCTCAGCATCCAGTCATCACTCATGACGCCGCCCAAGCAAGACATGGCTTCACTGGCTAAAGGCCAACTTGGCTTCATGAACCTGTTTGCCACCCCGCTGTTTCAGGGCGTTGCCGATATCATGCCTACTATGCAGTATACCGTCGACGAGCTTGAGATGAATAAGAGTCTCTTCGAGCTGAAACTTCAACAAGAGAAGGAAAAGCAGCCGTTAGACGATCCGGTCCGAAGGCGTCTTCTTAAAGAGGGTACATTCTCGCCGAGAACTATGAGCTTCGCGGTACCCCAAGAGGAGGAAAGGGAGGAGAGAAAGGACATGGCGCCGCTATTTGAAGCACTAGACCGAGCATCGGACACGACACCGGTTGGCAATGGTGAGCTTCCAATGCCACGTTCGGAGAGCGAGGACCTATCGCCGGCCGATAGTCAGAGGACAATGGGGCCATCATCCGTGAATGGTGCAGCTGTAGAACCTAAAGGTTCTGATGGATCAGTATCAACATTCGACGCGGTTAGAGAACTAGCGAACAGTGACCCGTTCCAGACGCAGACCAGGAGAGATTCAGCGAAACAGCGATCAAGCGAGACGACCGATGGAAGTGTATCTGGTGCTTGCTCGGGCGATTGGGTTTCGCAAGCCACAAGCGCCACAACGGGCAAGATGCCAATGTCGCCAAGTACACGGGGTACGAGCATTGTGAGCAGGGACTCGACTGAACATGCAACCGGAATCCCAAAGATCAACGTCGATACAGCAAGTCTGAAAGAAAGCTCAGGAACACTTCGTCATGATTGTTCGCCCGTTGACGATGAGACGAGATCAGACGCGAGCACGACAGGCGGAAGTATTGGCAAAGCCGAAGGCAAATCACTACGGAAGAAGACAAGCAGATTTAGGATAAAGGACTTCCCCTTCTTCAGGAAACACAAGGGCGCAAACTCTCCATCCACCGCGGATACGACTTGATGAAGGAGGTATCACAGCACTCGTCAGTCAGAAGCGGAAAGGAGAACGATGGCCAGGGCAACCGCCACGGGGAATTGATGGAGGCGAAGAAGCAAAAGAGCTGGGCGAGTCAGGCTTGCAGAGGGTTGTAACGGTCCAGTATTGTGGAATCGGTTATGTATAAGGTTTTGTTTTTAAGGAAGTGTCGGTTTGAGTCGCCCTAATGTTGCAGTATATACTTGTACAATACCTGAGGATGGACGGGGCTTAGTGAAGAAGCTTGTCTGACTTGCAGTTCAGAGGACCCCGGTCGGGGGTTTGAAAGAGGATGAAACAAAGAAGCATATCCAGCCAGAAGCATCTGAGAATGGAACTGCGATTAGGGCCGGAACCGGGAAAGGCTACTGGCGTTGGCGCAAGGTTGGGATGGGATGGGCTGGAATTCGGACGGGACGGGACGATGACGAAGGAAATGTATCAAAATCAAGCAGTGCGGGAAGGGCGCGGAAGGGATTTGCTTAGTCGTCTTGGGTTGGGCATATATGTTACAGGATGAGTGATGGACGTGGTGTTGGTGTTGATTGAGTCAGTACCTTCGTAGTTCATACGGCTGCGAGGCCATGATTGCTTGCATGCCAACGCATGAGATATCTTGTTAAATGATAAAGACACTTTGAAGCAAAAAAAGGAGAGGGTTGAAAACCCGCATTTGGCACATGTTATCACTCAGTAGGTATCTCAGACATAATGTTGTATTTGTGCTTAGGATCTCTAGCTAACGACTTTCAAGACGCTCTATAGATAGTAGTATCGGTTGGATATATGATCCATTAAAATTATACACAGGTATATAATAGTATTAACAAACTGATTTTTGCCCCCATCCGTACGGTAAAAGTGTAGTGCGCCCAAGAGTGGTACTTTGGTTTAGCACCACTCGGCTTTTGCATGAGTTGTGATTGGCCACAATTTCCGAGGGCGTGCCTTCGACAGTACATCATCCACTTGACCCACAAGGGAAAGGCGACTATAGTTCCATTCCTTCCTAAAAAGAGCGATAACTTACACGCGGTGCATGCATCGGAAGATTCTCTTTTGTCGGCGAAATTGAACTTGCGAAATGTCTTCGGAAAGGCCTAATACTACAACACGTGCTACTACCGGAGAATCTCG